GAAGGCAATAAACCTGCGTGCTGTGTCCCCACCATGTGCATGGTCATGTGCGCTTGGCTACACCCAGGGCACACAGCCCAGCACACACAGCCCAGTGCAGACAGCCCAACACCAACACACACAGCACAACACTAACACACACAGCTCAGTGGCAACACACACAGCTCAGTGGCAACACACACAGCCCAGCGCAGACAGCACAAGCCCTTGTTAGGCAAATGGCTGCCTCGGGCAGACCAAGGGTGTAAGCCAAGTCCCAGACCTGCCACGTAACAGGAAATGGATCCAGATGTGTATAAACCAGCATATTTGTTCTGTGCAGTGCTACAAAACCATTGACTGAGCAAAGAGAATGGCGGCAACTAACTACAACTCTACTGGCTTCAGCCTGGCTGCTTTAATAAGGTGCCTTTCCCTGGCTTTATTCAGGATTGTACACAGGAGGCCACTTGACCAGCCAGTCTTAAGTTCTCAGTAACTCTTGCAGCTGCCAACCAGTACTTGAGTTTTAGCTCACCCAGGAGAGATCTTTATTGGTTTTAAAGCACCTCACTCTCTTCCAGACTTTAAAAAATAAAAAATTTGCTATATATACAGCAGGGAATAGAGACTGAAACAGGCATTAATTTGGCATTAGGCACCAAACCCTGAGCTCAGCCTGAATAGATGGTGGGGCAGATGTGCCAGGGCCATGTGTCCCCCTGGGAGTGTGTGCCACCTGCCCTCAGCACAGCAGCAGAGGAGGCAGAGACCCTCGTCCTTGCCTGCCCTGCAACCAGATGCCGGTGTGGAGCGGGTGCTCTCCTGGGGCCACCCTGCACATCTGTGGCCCCTCTCCCACAGCATGGGGCCGCCAGGGCCGCACCACACGGCTGGTGCCAGCCTCTCACTCCTGCTCCCAGGCTGGTGTAAATCAGGGGTTACCCTGCTGCAGGCAGTGGAATAGCTCCTGATTTACAACATCCTACACAAGAGGACAACTTGACCTTACGCTTCAACATCAGTGCCGCTTCCTTTATTGAAAGCTTCTTAAAACAGACATGTAATCAATCCAGGAGAGACGCTGAGCAGCAGAGCTCAGGTTCTGCATAAGTCAGGGCTGGGCTTCCCAGAGAAATTGCCTGATCCAGGCTCCCATTACATCTACTCCTAGGTGCTCCCTCTGTGATCTCTGTTAGAAATGAGTGTGTTTTTCCATTTTACTTTTGTCAAAAATGGGCTGCTTTAGATTAATATAATCCACAAAGAGAATTTTTCTGTAGTAAGTCCGACTTACCTATGCAATGTTTCAGACAGACAGGCTTTTAGCAAGCTCAGGTCTTTGGAAATTCTAGCTTATGGCATTTGATGTTATTTTAGAACCCAAGAGGGAAAAGCTTACTGCCTTGCCTCTGTTTTCAGGGCCATAATTATGAGGGCAGTCTGATGACGTAACTTGTTTGGGAAATAAATGATAGCTTTCAACAGCAAGTGCTGTCAGACACTTCATTCCCTGTAACTATTTTAGAAATCCTAATTCATTTTGCACTTCCACAGCACCAGATACTGCTGTTATTTATGCATGTGTAAATCCTGTGCTACACCACTGCCTTCAGGAGATCTATTCAGTGTTTACACTGTGTGCAAGGCATGTGCCTCGTGGTGTAAGTCTACGTACACCTTGTGGTGTGATCTGCTAGTCCAGTAAGTATAATGGGAGAAGCGTGCAGATGTACTCTTACTCCCTCACTAGCTGTAACTATTTGCCTTCGTGATACGGACCATGAAAGCAAAGGCAGGATCAGACTTTGGGCATTTTCACACTTTAAACAGAGAGAAGAAAGGGGCAAGGCAAAGTACAGACAAAGGTAATTTTTTGCAGAACAAACCAGACAATTTACCGTGATAGAGGCATTACCAGCTACAGGCTGACACCAACAAGTACCACAGTGTTCCATAGGGCTCTAGTGACTGAAATGTTACCCCATGGTCTCCATGCCTTCACCCCATACAAACCTGCACTCCATGCTCCAGCCAAGCTCCCCACTGACCTGAGGCAGAGGCAGCAGCCCAGCTCTCGGGCTGCAAGCCAAGCAGAGCATACTGGTTATGTGCCACCTCCCCAAAAGACATGTTTAAGAATCAGCAGTTACAAGTATGACCAGAGACAGGAAGGTAATAATACTACTTAGCCCATTCTTCTTCCAGACTTGATTCCTCACAGCACCTCTCTGGCAAGGAAGGATCATCATTCCCTCTTGAGACATGAGGAACTGGGATATGGAGGGGTGAAAAGCTCTATCAGCAGAAAAGCTAGACAAAAGAAACCAGAGTGAAAACAAGTGGATAACACAATGCAGGTACAAGATAAACTTTTCCATAAATTCTGTGGGAAACGACTGGCTTTTGAAGACATCCCCCATAGTGCTCATAACCCAAATCCTGCAGAACTGAAAAGCAGGAAGATGCATTCACACAAACAAACTGAAGAACAAGAAGAGGGCATTCTTGTTGTTTTCATTAATGCCCTAGAGAAGAGCTTGTGGGCAGCAGCCTTGTCTGCCACCGCGAGTGCTGTGCTGCTGATGTGGAGTGGGCGCTGCTGGCTCCGGAGCTGTTAGTCAGACCCATGGCTCCACAAAGCAGCCAGCGCTGCTCCCTGTCAGGATACAGCTCACAAGAGAAAAGCTGCTGAAACAGTGTCAGTTTTCACAGCTAAACTCACCTTTGTCCTCACCACAGATGGACTCATGGGCATTTCTCCCCTTTTTGGAGGCGAGTTGGCTTTTCTGTCTCATTCAGATGCTTGCTGAGTTCTACAGTCTATTTTGGTCAATTGTTTGGTGGGGTTGATTTCTTTTGCTGGAAAAACTGGCTCCCGTCCTCCTGGCCCTGGTTTCACACACATACATGCCATTGTTGAGGTGAAGCCAGTTAGGGTTCATTGTCCCCGGAGCTGCTTGCACTGCGAGGACCTGCCCTTGCCATCGTGAAGCCACACAGGTCTCTGACAAGGCCTGGGGTGGTTGTGCTTGAGAAAGGCTTCCTGCCCACCTAAGCAACAGAAACAGAACTTGTACCCGAGTGCTTTCAACCCTGACTGCCCCCCCTCATTTTTGACTTCAGGCGCCGTTTTCTGCCATCGATCTCTTGAGAACAGGCTTCTGGAAGGACCTCCCCAGCCTGAGAAGGACCTTGCCAAACCCCTTCTTTCAGCATGGACCATTCCTCAGGTTTGCTGAGCCTGCAGTGTACATAGGACAAAGGGCAACACTGACAGGTCTTCATCAGCCCTAAAAAGCTGGGGTGGCATCTGGCTCTGTTTAAACAGGCAATTTGAGCTACAGATTCTGTTTGTGCATTTAAGATTGCTAACATTTTCCTGTTCCTTCCTACCCCTCTTCCCAGCCTCGCCTGCCTCAGGGCAGGCACCAACTCTCCCATCAGACCATTTCTGTGTCAAAGGAGCGACACTGCCCTCGTAGGCATCACTGAATGAGCAAGGTGGGACTGCACCTCATGCTGGGCATGGCTTGATTTTCAGATGGGCCAACTGAAACGGGCATTTAGAAACAAGAACTGTCGCTTAAATAAACATGGTGCTAAGCAAAAAAACAAAACCAACAACCCAACAGAGATTAATTTCACGTTCACCTATAATTACACTGAAAAACGAGAGTGTGCCTAAGAAATCCCATCTTAAAATAAAATTAAAGCCTGCTTCAATCCTTCGTCTAACCCATTTCTACCAACAGCACACATGCATTTGTACATGTTATTAGATTGACATTGTAGCATCCTGGACAAATCAAATTAATCCAAATATCTGCAGGTATGAAATGTTGTAGATGAGAAATGAGCACATAAAGTATATGCAATTTTCCCCTGGCAGTTTATTATGGTATGAAGAAAAAAACATTCTGTGCTTGAAGCTGATGTAATATTACAAATGTATTGCAAAGTATGATGTGACTATTAAAATATGATTACACAAAGTCATTTTAAGAAGTTTACAGTACAGTGAATCTTTTATAAACAGACTCTTAAATATACATAGGACAATAGTAGTTGACTGAAAAAACATCAAAAATTAACTATTAACGTTTATAGACTTTTCCCCTGAAAAAAAAAAAAAGGTCTCACATTAAAACAGAAATTATGAAAAGCCTTAAAACCAGGAACAAATCACCTGTACACTACAAATATACATGGCAGAGGTGTGCAAACCAGAGCTACCTTTCCACCAGGGAGGGCAGGCAGTGCCTGCCCTCCACCTCACCTCCAGCACAGCCCACCTTGGAGCGCAGTGCCTCCTCGCCATGTGCGCGCACACCGGTCAGCAGTGGGAACATCACAAGCACACGCTCACTGCAGGACAATGAGGGTGCATTGTCAGCGTCAAATTGACCTACTGGAGTGTATTGAGCTGAGAACACGCCCAGGATCTCTGCAGTCAACACACTGGAAGCCCAGATGGGACCTACGTACCAGGCTGGGCTGCAAGACTGAGCTACAAGTCTCTTCTTATGGATTTTATGGGTTCTTTAATGCAACTTTTCAATCTTTCCTCTTGATATGGGAGAACAGATGCCACATTTGATTTCTGCTTAGTCTGGCTGCAATGACACCCCTAGTTCATGTGTTAAGTTATGTCAAAAACATAAGAAGTTTATGCTGTAATACACAGTATTACTGAAACTAACAATATTATTTGCATATTTATAACAAGGTATAATGAAATCCCTATAATAAAACCAAAAGTTATGATATAGATTTATTTACAAACAGTCCAGCAAGGAAGTATAAATACTTCTACATTTAAGGTTTAGGAAAACATAATTTACAAAATATTCAAATATATACAGTCATCTGAAAAACTGCCAACATTAAACTTTGATGCAGGCAAAGGATTGGCTGAGTCCATTCATTCTGTATTGAAAGAAGCGCCGGCTTTCCCAGGCTGTCTGTTCTGTTCAAAAGCCATACGTATGTTATTTACAACGAGACTGCTTTTCTCTGAGCTAAACATGTCCGGAGCTTTGAGCATGCTGTCCCAAAATGTCATCTATCATTGTCAGATTGTTCAACCACTCTTCATCGTTGCTGCTGCTGCTGCTGTTCTTCATGAGAGAGTCAAGGAAGTCAGTGTCACTGCAGTTGGTGGGCATGATGGAGTTGCTGTGCTGGGACACAAAGTCATACTGCGGCAGCTCGGCGGCGGCACTCAGCCTGTTGAAGGCATCAGGCGGCTGGCCCGAGGAAGGGTAGCTTGGTGGGCCGAGGCCCGGGGCAGAATTGAGCTGGTTAAAACTGGACATTCCTTGTGGCACTGATTTCATAACATTCACAGCTGGCAGCGGTCCTCTGGTTAAATTGTGTCTCAAGGTCTGATTACTCATTGAGCTCAAGCCCTGGCCAGACTGGCCCATGCTCAGTTTCTGCATCTGTCTGACCTGGACGCTGGGAGCGATCTGATTAGGCGGCACGACAGCCTGCTGGGAGAACTGCTGACCAACTGCGCTTGGCCTCGCATTCTGTTTGGAGAAGAGAGTGTTACTGGAGAACTGCTGCATGCTGGTATCCATTTGGCTTTGATTTGGCATTCTTGGCACAGTGGTCGGCGTCCACATCTGGGCAGATGAATTGGGGTAGAGGTTAGGGACCCTTGGAACACCCGGCTGCCTCAAGTGTTGCTGAGTTGCAGAGTGATTTGCTAAGGAACCAGAAATGAAAACTAAAAAAAAACATCAGAGGGGTTGTGTACTGTTTGGCACCCCGAGTTCATGCCCAGTGAGTTCTGGCTCGGCCGCAGTGGGATGTTAAAGTCAGAATTAGGTGGAAAAATCCCCTGCTGCTTGCCAGGGTTGTGTGGAATCATCACCATCGTCCCGCTGCTCTGGCTGGCGGTGGCTGGGGCCATGCCAGAGCCCAAGGTGCTCTGGAGCATGGCTGGGTTAGATGGCAGCATGCGGTGGTTAGGCGGAGGAGCTGGCATCACCTGGCTGCAGTCAGTGGGAATGGGCTGCTGCACAGCTGCGGATAAAGAGACGTGTTAGCTGGTGAGCACACGTTCACCCTGGAAACATGGCAGAGCCTTAAAAGGCTGCTGCTCTGTCCTTCTCTTTCATTACATGGGCCTCTCTGTGTTCTTTGTAACAGCTGTTACTGGAGTGACAAGGAAATGGGTGAATCTCATGACGTGATAAAATGTGAAATGCTTTTATTCCAGGACAGAGGATCATTAAGTGCCCTGTATTTAATCAGACCCTAGGCACTAGTTCCTCGAGGCTTTTCATAGCACGCCACTTCCCTCCTTACCTTGAAACTGATTTATCTGCTGAGCTGCAAATAAACTCCTCTGCTCAGATGTTACTCCCAGCATATTTTGTCTCTGCTTTTCCTGGAAAACAAGGGGCATAACATTCAAGTTGCATCCTTTTGACAAGCAAGAATAGCAGCAGACACTTGAAGTGTAGCCACTGCCATTATCAACCTCTCCTGCACATACGCACCACACACACATCCCTCTGATGAGACTCAGCCCAGACAGTTCATTTCAGTCTGGGTCTTAATTGCTCACATGCCCCTTCTTGCAAAGGTGTCCTGACAACAGCCCCACATTAGGAAGTGCAGCCTTTAGCAGATGCTGTACAGGTGCCCTGGGGGGAGCTGGACAAACATGGAGACCCTCATGTCACCAGCTTATGAGTGAAGCGCAGAACATTCAGAGGCTGGCACCTCCTCAGCGCCTCTTGTGCTTACTGTTTGGATGTGTCCTGTGAAGTACTCAATCCAGGGACAAAAGGTGCCCAGAAGTCTATTAGTAAGCAGAATCTAGTGAACAGAATCTGTGGCAGCATTCCAGGGACACACCGATATATGGTGTAGTGGCCATTACCCTGTCTGGAGGATGGCTCTGCTCCTGTGTACCATCACTTTGTTCTGGTTGCCACTTCGAACCAGGTAGCACTAGAACAGAGGAAGCCAGGGACCCTGAGCAAGGCACTGCGGGCTTTCTGCAAGTGACCTAATTTGTGTCTCCCACCATTTAACCCCAGAACCCACCACTGCAGTTGCATCCCTGCTGTGGACCTGGGGAACTCTCTGTGGACAGTGGAAGCCAAGGCCTGGCTCCTGCTGTGTCAGAGCAGCACAGATAAGCTTGAAGCCAACTGACAGAAGGAGGCAGAGTTGGTTTTGAAAGGGAGTTTGATCAACGAGTAGGACAGTACTTTGTCGAGCGTTTTACTGAGCCGCTTCTCATCTCATTTCCCATCCAATGAAACGAGCCTCCTCATTTCTTTCAGTGGTAAAAAACCAGCACGCTCAGAAATCAGAGGTACGTGTCCAGTGCTGCCTCACCCAGCTTGTCTGTGGGATTCCCCCATCCCTGCTCCTCCACACAGCATGTTATAAAACTCGTATGGGACTTCTGTTGCTAGAGAGACTGGCCAAGCCCAGGACAAACTGAAGTCTAACATCTGCTCTTGTAAAGCCCAAGGGAACCAGAGAGAAAGGCAATACATGGAGGACATCTCTTCTGGGGCTGACTCACTCTCCTTCTCTGCATCTTCCCTCCCAACTCTGGGGCTGACCAAGGTTGACGGCAATGATACAGAGGTGACTGAATCCTTCCCTTGCATACTGGTGGGCAGATCTGCACTTGGACTTGCTGAGCAGCACTTGGCCTTGGCTTCCCTTGGGCATGACATCCTAGACTCATCACAGCCCCAGTATGACTCAAGCCAGCAATTCCAGGGTCACTCCTTTGTGTTTGCTGATTGGTGATTTCCCCATTCCTGTTTGGACAGTTAGTCCTGTCCTTCCCAATGAGGTGGACAGCAGAGCAACCCACAGCGGCACTCGGCATCGTACCTGCATCAGCTGTCGTTTCATTATTTGCTGCTTCAGTAAATGGTTCCTCATCGTGTACCCATTCACTGTGGCTGGTGCCGGCACAGAGCCTCCGCTTGGGATGGAGCCTGGCTCCTGAAGCCTGGCAATAATTCCTGGATTTTGATCCTGCCAGGAAATATGAAAAAAGAAAATTAATCTCATCAGGGAGATAACAACAGAAGTCCTTATCCTCTTTGCTGATGCCCTCTCTCCAGTCTTTGGCTGTCCCAAGGCCAAAACACCTTGTGGGTTCACATGGACCTGCATGTCACAGTTAGCACAGTGAGGGGCAGAGGGCTGCTCTGATTTCTGAGGATCAGCACAAGAAGAAGTGAGAAGCAAAAAGTTAAGGCAAAATTCTTTGAGACTAGCCCAAGGCTACAGGACTGATTCACTACCACTACTGGAGCCACATGGCAGCCTGGCTGGCAGAAGGGATGTGAGTAAAGCGTCACATTTCCCACCAGTTCCCCAACTGTTACACTGAAAGACATAAGGTAAGAAGAGTTGCATGAGGGTAGGATTTGGCAGTTGAATGTAAAGGAGAAGCCTACAGGAAAAGAAAACAGCAAACTAAAGGCAGAAGAGGGAAAAAGGTGCCCTCAGACCAGGGACCAAGAAAGGAAGAAAGAAGGCATGGGACTGGGATTAAGTGGTTCTTGTGGGTTCCGTGAGTGGACAAATGAGGATAGCCAATAGCGAAAGGAGAGGAGAACACGTGAAAACTCAGGGTCAGGTCATGGCTGGGCACAAATCAGTAATGCAGTGGGCCTGACTCCTGTCTGGGGCAAACTGGCCTCACTCTTGAGTCCTCAATGAAAGATCTGAGGTGTTTTTCACCTGGTAAGGACTTGCCTTCAAAGAAAGAGCACTGTGGAGAGAACAGGAAAAGAATATTCTCAAGAACAGATGAAGATGCAACCCAAAAGGGAAAAAGACTTTAAAAAAGTACTGAAGTCTAAACATCTTTGGAGCTGGCAGGTAGTCAGGGAAATACAAAAGAAAAACTAGGGAAGAAGTCAAGGCCTCACTGAGGACAAGGTTCCGTAAGCACTATACCCAGGAACAGCAGTACCAGTGTATTCCCCTTTCTCCATTTTCACGTCCAGTGTCTACATTATTTATGATCTTTTGTGACTATTGGCAGGGAGAAGTTTGTATATTATAGCCAGCATCCTTAGCTAGGCCATGCTTCCTTTGTTTTCAGAATGGAAGTCCACATCCTTTGTTTGAAAATCAATGTTATCAGGAGATAAGCAAGAAGAAAATGGTTGTTGCCTTTTGACATCTGACAATTAGAAGCACACTCAGATGGAGAAAACAGGATACGAGCCATGTTTCAGAATGGCCATAAGAAAGCCTTGGAAGGCATTTGTCATCGGGCAAGGTTCTTGGGCCTGGGGCACCTTTCCACAGCAGCTTCATCATGAGGAATCACCCAACTCCTTCCAAGATACTCTTTGTAAGACCAATTACCAAGAAGGTCACTGAAATTACTCATTTTTATGGTGCCTCCTTTTGTTGTAGCACTTCCGTCTATTATGCAAAAGCACAGTTGATGAAATGTAAATGCCTGCTAGACAATTTACTAAAAGACACAAACCTGCAGCTCACCACTGCTCTCATTATCATTCCTATTCATCGCAGTCTCATAAGACTAGTCTTTATTACTGCTGCTTTGCTTACAATTCTGCTGGACATCTCTCCTCCTCCCCTTCCCTCCTACCCATTTTACTCCCTCTCTCCGACAGAAAAGAGAGGAGAAAAGTAAATATGATTTACTACAGATGTAAATAGGAAAGTTCATGTAAAGCTAGCACTCTGCTTTCATGTCAGACAGGATTCTGCAGCTGTAGTTAAGCTTTGAATAATGCAGATTGCCTCTAGGGGAATATCTGAAAGTGGAGGGATTCAGTTTGTGTACTCTGCACATGAAAGGCACTGAAATGTTCATGCCACCAAAATCCCTGCCATCTATCCAATTTCCTCCAAACTTGTCTTGTTGCGTGCAGAGGGTCTGTGCTTACTGAAGCAAATGAGTTTAGTGCAAGGACAATCATTCTGATGTCTTGCTCAGAGCTATTGCTTTAACAAGTCATAACATTAAAGTCTCTTTTCCTAATCATGTCCACCTCATTCTAATTTCTCCTAAACATCATCAAGAAAATAATGTTGATTTTTCCATATTATTAATGGTGAAGAAGTGTAAATCACATTACTAATTGCGGCTCTTGTGCTGTGGCAGTACAACAGCTTAATTATATAGGATTTTCTGCAGGCACCCTATAGCAGTAATGACAATCAGTGATGTTCATTTGCAAATACACAGAATGGGTTGCTGAGGTTTTCAGAGCAAAGTTGTATAACACATAATTAGCCACTAAAGAAACAATCTATAGATATACATTTTGCTTTTAGGGAAATTAGGACAAAATAGCATAGATGGAAAGACAAAGAATTAATTCAAAATCTTGCCTTTTACAGTTCAGATTTAGGTTAAGCCAAAAAAAAAAAAAAAATGAAAGGGGGGGCGGGGGGGGGGGGGAAAGAGAGAAAAGGAAAAGTTCTCTCTTTTCACCACTAGTGGGAACTACTGTATTCTCTCACAATAAAAAATAACTACTTAAACGTCACGACTAAGAATAGCTCTAGTGTAGTCTAAAGGACACTGCTATCTGAACCAAAGGTTAATGAACTTTAAACATTTTCCCTTTTCATCACTCCCTCAAAAAAATCACTTTCCTTCCCATAGTAAGGCTAAGCCACACGAGCCATAATCTTAACTTGTCTATAGTTTGTGTTATCTCATTTTAAAATCCAGGAAGACAGCAAAGAGAGGAGGATTCTAGCGCTGAAGTTGGGAACGATGGAAGCGGGTGTTCACGCCCAAAAGGCTCGTGTCTGAGCCAGTGGTAAGATACGCTGCAGGGCACAATGGCCACGGTGATTCTTATTCTTCAACTTAAAAAAGTGTTTGCATGTAGGTATCAGGTTTTTTGCCATTTTCCCTCCAAATATTCATATTAAAACATCAAATGGGCAGAATCTCTAACTAAACAGCACACCACACAGCCCTAGAACTGGAGAGCATGGGTTTATGTTGCTAAGAAAAGTGTCACACAGCAGGTCTGGAGCTCCTGCAGCACTCCCTGGGCTTTCCAATATGGCAATTCTTGTTCAAAAAGGTGCTGGAGTTAACTTCATAGTTCTGACTTAATATCTCATGCACTAGTTTTGAGAGCAAAGGAGAAAATAATCGGGTTCCAGGTTTGCAGGAACATACACTGTTTGCGTCAGTATCCAGCCACTAGCTGTAATTGTGAAAGCCCAATGAAACCAGTTCATCCCAGCTGGTGCCCGATGGGAGGCTGCCCAGGCTGGGCAAACCCATCTGCAGATCACTGCACCCAATTGAAGTGAGTGTGGGTCTGGTCCAACAAAACATTCAGGCAACCACTTAATGGCAAATATGCAAACAGTCCCACTGAGAGCTACCATGTACATTTATGAATCTACATCCTTCTAAACATCCACTCACAGGCTCGACCTGCCCAGCCCCATCATCTAATTATGTACAAGATGCACAACTGCAGTAAATAAGTGCGGAGATGAATTGTTCTGTAGATAAACTCCAGTCCTCAGCACTTAGTTACATACCCAGCAATCACTTTGTGGCTTCACTTAAGTGAGAATGAAGAAATTTATGGCCCCTAATTCCTCTGAATCCTCATTAACAAACAGTCCAAAAAGAATCTAAAAGCAAGACTTCTTGAGGATCTGAGCTGGAGCTTTAATCACTCTTTGGCAAGTATGTAAAGATCCTTCTAATCTTTAATAAAGAGCATGCATTGTTTTTTAGGACTATGTGAAAAAACTAAACTCATTTATCATTATTAAACCTTCCCATCTGCTATTACAGTGTAACTCCAAAGAATATAACAAAGAAATGTACATGTTAAATTGTATTGACTTAAGCCCAGAGCTGTTGGAGATGTACGATTTATTTCAGTGAGGGCATGAAGGGGACTGCAGGCTGCTAGACAGAGTCATTTGTCCAATGCTGAAAAGACAGTTATCTGCACCAAAATGGCTTTTGGAAAGGCACATTTGCTTTATAAGAAATAAGCTGCCAGGTGAGACAATTCAGCATTATGTTACAGACACAGACATTAAAACTAAGCCATGAATTTCAATAGTTAACAGATGGACTAATTAGAGACTGAATTCTTTGTGGTTCTAACAGTTAACCAGGTCACAGCAAGGTTACTGAGAGAGAGACAGGCAGCTTTGCAAATTTCAGCAGATATTTGTAGAGTCAGGGAAGAACTGCACTTCCTAACTGAAAGCGTTAGCAGCAGTGGAAGAACAGAAACATGTCTAATTAAAAATGCCTATAGTACCTGCATGTGAAAAGTTTATTCCATTTCAAAAGACAAGGCTGATTTGAGAAATATTCCCTCCACTTTCAAGGGGGCATTCAGCCTGAAACCAGTAATTATAGAACTTAAAACAGAAGGATTGTTGAGAAGAGCCACAGCACCCTGGCTATAAAAGGGAAAGACTGAAGGAAATGGTCCACTCACGGTAGATGTTTACTAGAAATATAAGAAAGGGACAAACTGCTTTTCCATCTTTTTTTTGGTAACCAAAGATATTTGAAGTATTTACCAAGACATCACACAGTAACAAACAAACAAATAAAAAATAAGGGAAGAAAAACATGGCACTGGACTTGACAAGAGCTTGTACTACTAATCTGCTCAGCCAGGGACTCCAGGTGGATCCATATTCCCAGGAGGGACAGCTGTTCTCTAGGGGTGGGGTGAAGTTTCATTAACCCAGTTTTGTTCTGTATTTTAAGAACATCTGTTACATGTGGGTAGTTCTGTACTCTGCTGAGGAAATGCAAATGGTAGTTTCAACCTAATGCCTCTGGGTTTCCATGAGCTCCCACCTGCCTGCCAGTGCATTGTCTCCTGTCTAGTAGGTACGTTGCATCTCCTTGGTGGGTCTCCCATGCCTGGGAAGCACCTTGCTCTGAAGTCCCTGTCTAGGACTCCTAGGGACAACAACTCTACAAATGCTACAAACTAAGCAATTAAAACATTAGTAGCATTAAAGTTGCC